TGTTTGTGTAAATATTTTTTATAAACAAAACAGTGACAACAGTGTTTACGCCCTTATTGTGTAGTATTGAAAAAGAAAAAACTTACAAAATACTGATCATATTGGTCTCACAGGCCATAAAAGTTACTTGGAAAAAGAAAAATTAAAAAATAATAGAAATTAGTACATAAAAGAGTACCGGGAGACGGCAGTTGGTGATGTTGCCACATTGTCCCCCTTTTTCATCAACTTCACGCCTCCATATCTCGGTAAGTATTGATGGTAAAAAAAATTTTTTTACCCTATAATATTTAAAAAAAAAAATCCATTTTTTCATAAGAAAAAATTTTTTTTTTTTTTTTTGAAATTTGGCCGACCCTGAGAACGAGTCTCTGAGAGGACCTGTCGACCCTCAAAGGGTTAATTGAGCTATGTGTAGAAAGAGGTTTGGTAATAAGTAATACATATTTTATAAAAAAGAGGATAAATAATATTTACACCACACATTGCCCTTAGACAGGGAATCTCCACTGCCTCCAACCGTCTCCTCGCTGCAACATTTACAACCCAAGCTTCACACCCATATAGGAGTGTTGGTACTACTATACTTTCATACATTCCCTTCTTTCCTCCATAGATAATATTTTTTGCCTCCACATATACCTCAATGCACCACTCATTTTTTTTCCTTCAACATTGATTGACAGGCAAGGGACCTTTTGCTGATTCAGGCAATGAATTTTCTGATCTTAGGGCCCTTTATGTGTATTGTAATTTTGCATGTGTGAGACAAACACAAGGAATGTTGTAGAGACTTTTGTGTCTTGTCTTGTGCCTGTGTGTATTGTGCTATAGCTATAAGATAAGATAAGATAAGATAAGATTTCGTTCGGATTTTTAACCCCGGAGGGTTAGCCACCCAGGATAACCCAAGAAAGTCAGTGCGTCATCGAGGACTGTCTAACTTATTTCCATTGGGGTCCTTAATCTTGTCCCCCAGGATGCGACCCACACCAGTCGACTAACACCCAGGTACCTATTTGCTGCTAGGTGAACAGGACAACAGGTGTAAGGAAACATGTCGAAATTTTTCCACCCTTCCGGGAATCGAACCCGGGCCCTCCGTGTGTGAAGCGGGAGCTTTAGCCACCAGGCCACCGGGCCCTGGAGAAGTTTGAGAGGAGGGTTTATACTAGAGTTTAATGTTCTGTGTGCAGTGGACCCCCGCTTAACGATCACCTCCCAATGCGACCAATTATGTAAAGTGTATTTATGTAAGTGCGTTTGTACGTGTATGTTTGGGGGTCTGCAATGGACTAATCTACTTCACAATATTCCTTATGGGAACAAATTCGGTCAGTACTGGCACCTGAACATACTTCTGGAATGAAAAAATATCATTAACCGGGGGTCCACTGTACAGTGGAATCTCAAAAATCGAACTGCTCCCAACACAACCAGTTATGTAAGTGTATTTTTGTAAGTGCTTTTATAAGCGTATTTTTGAGGGTCTGAAATGGACTAATCTAATTTACATTATTCCTGATGGGAATAAATTCATTCGGTAAAGGCACTCGAACAGCCTTCTGGACTGAAGAAAGTTCGATATTTGAGGTTCCACTGTATATATATAGTAGGCACAATAATATGAGTGTATACTTTGTTTATTAAATAAGTTGAAGCTCTTGAAGTGCAGAGAGGGTGTGTTGTCTGGCACACCAGTTGGTGATCATCCACACAGCAGCTTAGAAAACACTTCCTTTCCTTAACCCTTTGAGTGTCGAGACTCCTGCTCGTAAACTTGCTCATAATGTTGAAGAATTTAAAAAAAAAAAAATTCTTTTGAAATGATAGAGAATCTTCTTCCAAAGGTAATGAAACCAAAAGTTCAAAATTTGATGGAAAACATGGAATTAGGCTCTCGCGAAATTAGCTGTCTTGGCGATATTTACACATCAGTGATTTCGCCCACTGTCAGCCCTCTTTTGTGCCAATTCTTTTGTTCCACTCGACAAAACTCATAGCTATTTCACTAGAACTTTTATGTTATCGATTGATTACAAGAAACCACTCATTTACCTATTTCAACTACCAAATAAAATGATCAGAAATTACTAATTTGGCCAGTTTCATGCAAAATTCAAGAAAGGCCAATTTCAAAATAGGGGCCAGAATAAACAATGCAGACATTCCTGGCACCAAAATAACATTTTCTCTGTTCATTAGTCATGTCTCCAGCCCCTCTTATATTACACTTGCTTTTCATTTTGAATTTTTGTTCACACAAAAAAATAGATGATTTACTATTATTAAGACTACTGCATAGTTGTAATAATTGTATAAATAATATCCGCGCATTCATGAATGGATATTAGACCTACAAGTTGATGTGTATTGGATGCATGACGTGATTTGTTTACTTTTGAACATCATCAAAACTAACATTACTACTTTGAGCTCAATTTCAAGCTACTTTAATCAGTAAACCATTCAAAATCACCTCTATTTCTGTGATATATCTTCCATTCTATCAATTGAGACCAGTAAAACAAGAATACAACCATAAATACCATATGAAATTACACTGCAAATTTGGTTTTAAAATAAAAACATGGATGCAGTTTTTTTCTCATGCACTGCATGCTGCTGGATTGTTTTTATACTTTGCACACTGACCAAGCAGACCCATTCTCTCACATGTAGGCCTACCAGCTTTCTCCCGCAAGATTTAAAGCTGCTAGAATTTTGGCGTAGTATTATGGGACCAACACTGGCTTCAAAGCCGTAATATTACAGGACCGACACCAAAGGGGTTAATGTCTTCCTAACAACAGTAAATATATTGAGCAATTTTTTCAACTCGTATTGTCCCTGTTCTTGTTTATCATTCCTTCAACTCATGTACCTAACTCACTGGTCTTGTCTATCATGTACCTAGCTCACTGCTCTTATTTATCATGTACATACCTAGGTCACTGTTCTTGTCTATCATTCCCTCAGCTCATGTATCTAGCTTCATCCTTAATTAATAAATCAGTAATTATATATTTTTATTCAGTTACTAAATACCTCTAGTACAGCCTCTCCTCACTCAGTGATGTGCTCATTTACTGAGGACTCAGACTTACAACGGGCTCTCTGACCAGTATGCATACCTAAATAATGTATATTAGAGTTGATTTCCTCTATTCTGTTTGTTACAATATACAGTACACTACTGTACAAACATTTAAAAATTACTAAAAATGTTATAAATGGTGCAAAAGTGACATTAAAAAATATCAAAGATGGTTGACACAAACCCATTACCATTATAATATGCTCCCTGCTTAGCGATGAATTTGTTTACTGACGTGGTCTTAGGAACGGAACTCTGTCATTGAGTGAGGAGAAGCTGTATAATAAAAGCTATACATTTGTATTCTCATATATTTATAATAATTTAGTTTTAAGACTGCCAGAAATACCTTGTATAATAAAGGGTTTTCTATAAGTTATATGTCACTTGCCCTAATTGTAGAAATGAAGATGCAATTGTTGCTTTAGTGAACTCAATCTACTGTGGACTGTTTTCTTAGTGACTCTGTATACCATATGCAGAGTGAAGTAGTGGACCCAGCAGAGTATGAACAAATTCTGCAAGCTTCAGCACAACATGAATGTTTGACAAACTTCTTTGAAGAAGAATCATTACTTTGAGATGAATGTTGGTTGAGTAATCATCAGACATACACATCTCATTCATAGTCATCTGTCTGTCTTCCCTGTGTAACTTGTGCCACAGACTCTGAAACATATTCTGAGTGCATGACATGTGTGGTAGTGGGCAAGGTTTCTCACCCACACAGTATCAAGAGTTTATTTAGGTACAGGTACACATAATTACAATTATTGTACATAGTGTAAATTACCTAGGATAACCCCAAAAATCAGACAAAGTGACTTACTTCCATTGGGGTCCTTGAGATATCTTATTATTTAACCTAAAAGTTAAAACAGCTAAGTAACTCAACTGTGTGAAAATAAGTTACAATAAAAGGATATATAATAGGAATAATGTGAACTGAGTTATTTACTTTAATAACATTAAAGAGAGGATCAGCTTGCAATAATAGGTACACCAATGTTAGCTATACAAGAAATCTCCCTTTCTGTAGCATCATTCATTAGGTACCTTTCTGTAGCATAATTCATTAGATACCTTTCTGTAGCATCATTCATTAGGTACCTTCCTGTAGCAACATTCATTAGGTACCTTTCTGTAGCATTATTCATTAGGTACCTTTCTGTAGCTTCATTCATTAGGTACCTTTTGTAGCTTCATTCATTAGATACCTTTCTGTCACTTCATTCATTAGGTACTCTTGTGTAGCTTCATTCATTAGGTACTTTTCTGTAGCTTCATTCATTAGGGACCATTCTGTATCTTCGTTCATTAGGCACCTTTCTGTATCTTCAGTCATTAGGTACCTTTCTGTAGCTTCATTCATTAGGTACCTTTCTGTAGCTTTCTTCATTAGGTACCTTTCTGTAGCTTCATTCACTAGGTACCTTTCTGTAGCTTCATTCATTAGCTACCTTTTTGTAGCTTCATTCATTAGGTACCTTTGTAGCTTTATTCACTAGGCACCTTTCTTTTAGCTTTATTCATTGGGTACCTTTCTGTAGCTTCATTCATTAGGTACCTTTTTTAGCTTCATTCATTAAGTACTTTTGTGTAGCTTCATTCATTTATTACTTTTCTGTAGCTTCATTCATTAGGTACCTTTCTAAAGTTTCATTCATTAGGTACTTTTCTGTAGCTTCATTCATTAGGTACCTTTTAGTTACATTCCTGAAACAGTTGTAGGTAATAAGTAAGAGTGGCAGGCGTATACTACATAATCATGGACTTTCCATGGGTGCTATTAATTGTAATGTAATCTTGTGAATAGTATGTGCAGTAACTAGTGGGAATAAAGTGCATATATATTTATTGATGTGTTTGTTAGTAAGAGGGTAGTAATATTTGAGCACTGCAGGAGGTGTCATACAGCGAGCTCCTGGTACCATCTCGGAGCTTCTTCTGCAAGCCTCGACGTCAACAGTCAGAACACATAGAACTTAGTGACTCAGCTGACCGCTGCCTGCATCCTGGGGTTGCTCGATGCTTTAGTTACGAGCCTGCAACACACAAGGCCACGGCCCACTATGTGCCACACTCAACACATGGCCATGTTGAGAAAGGTAAACATGCAGTTTTGTTACAGATGCACCATCATCAGTGTGTCAGTGTCTGCTGCTACTGTCTAACTTTAAAATAGCTATTTTAACATAACACCCAACATGTATTTTAATATAATACTATTACTAAAATAATGAATATACTTTTTTCTATATAGGTATTGAAGATAGCTTAGAGTACTTGTAATGTGATGGAAGATAGTTTACAGTACTAGTAATAGTTTACAGTACTAGTAATAGTTTACAGTACTAGTAATAGTTTACAGTACTAGTAATAGTTTACAGTACTAATAATGTGATGGACATATTAGTTGAGCACTTGTAATGTAGTTTCCAGTACTTCATATCAGTGTTTCTTCTCTCACAGGAGGAATTCTTTTTTTGTATATCAACCAAGGTAGTAAACTGATTTTTAACTTCACTTATTTAAGAACTTTTCATGCTGATTCACTTTGCAAGATAAGCTTAATATACTAGTCTTGTAATGGAAGGTTGCATGTTGCTTCATGACTGACATTCTTGTAAGAAAGTAACTGAATCATGTTTGGTCTTGCATGCATCAAAGATTTATTTTCTCCTTGTGTTTAAAGTTGGTGAAGGTCACAGTACATGTACCTGCTGGCTTCAACTTGTCATCTGGCTGTGCACATTGTTGCTAACTTGTGCTTGAAGCAACACTTTATTCCCACACCTGGACCACACCTGCCACCTCATTAATCTTTCAAACATCATCTCTGTAAACTTTTTTTAATTTGTAGATTAAAATTTACAAAACATGTTCATTGGTATCAGTTTGTTTAATAAGATGGTTGTTGTTCTATAAAGCAGTAGAGAATAACACTTACCAGTATATATAATTAACTAAAACATTTTCTGTGAACTGGAAATTGTAGAAGAGAAAAAAAAAAAAGCATATAAGATACTAATGAGACTTATGTTATAATTCTGATTAAGTATAACATGCAGAGTTAGGTTGTGTTGTGAGTATAGTACACTAGACCAGGTCTAGTATAGTACACTAGACCAGGTCTAGTATAGTACACTAGACCAGGTCTAGTATAGTACACTAGACCAGGTCTAGTATAGTACACTAGACCAGGTCTAGTATAGTACACTAGACCAGGTCTAGTATAGTACACTAGACCAGGTCTAGTATAACAACTAAAACATGTGAAGGTTCATGAAGTATCTGAAGGTTCATGAAATATGATAAACATAGAAGTCTCATGTGTTTGAAGGAGTCAGTTTCAGCTGTTACAGAATTGAGTCTTTATTTGTTGTACTCAGAAAAGTGTTGTGCCTTTGATATTAATGGAGAATTGAGGCTTAAGCTTTTAGCTGTGCACATTGTATATATATGCAGGGGCTTGTTTTATGCATGATGTATATAAACACTAAGTTTTCTTTTGTAGTCCTTAAACTTCCTGGCAGCCACAATTTTGTGCCTAAGCTCAGCTGTTTGCGTGTCCTGCTACAAGGCTGCTCCACTTAGTACATCATGAATAACATTGACTCAGCAGGCCATGTAAACAAGGTGTGTGACATGCTGCAATAAACAAGGTGTGTGACGTGCTGCAATAAACAAGGTGTGTGACATGCCACAATAAACAAGGCTACCTGTTGGTGATGAATTAGACACATGTGTATCATCTGAGTATCTTAATTTTGCAGATATTTGGCATCCAGTGGCTTTATCAGTATAATACATGGATATAATCTGGTGATGAACCATTTACAGAAGACAGTGGAAGAGGAAGTAATCAGTCATTCAGCCTAGGAGCAGGTGATGAGCACAGTAGTCTTGAAAAATGAGAAGCACAGGCAGGAAGATTGGTGCTTATGTACCACAGTCAAAGGATGTGCAGCAGATGAAGACATTGTCAGCAATAGGAGGGATTTCCCAGTGGAAGTAGGTCATACCCAAGAGTTGGACCACAGATAGCAAGTACAGTTGTGATGCCCTCTATACCAAGATTCCATGATGTTGTTTTGTCTGACAAGGCTTATATCATTAGTATGTAATATCCACAAGATGATGAATTAGACACTTATGGAAATCCTTAATTTGTAGACGGTTTGCCATCCAGTAGTTTTATGAGCACAATACATGACAGTGATCTGCTGCACCTCATCTTAATCCAGTAAATAAGTGACAGTCTTCCTGCCTGTGCTTCACATTCTTCAAGACTATGGTGTTCATCACCTGATCCTAGACTGAGGGACTGATACCTCATGTTCTACTGTCTGCTGCATATTGTTCTACAGTCTTCAGATCATGTCCATCTATTTTATTGATAAAGCCACTGCATGGCAAAATGTCTACAATATTAACCCTTCAACTATGCATTTCCACATTGATCAGCACACTATTTTTCCTACATTCAAATTCGGCACCAGAGGCCTGTTAGGCCTAGGCAGTATAGAATGGGTCTTAACACTCAGTGTATGAAGTAATAAACAATCTGGGACCAGTTAGTACCTTATGGGAGCACCAGTTCAATTGAGTGACCAGCTAGTGCAAACAGCATGGCAAACCCCAGAGATTCACTAATGCCATGTCGTACTAACACTCTCCTTTTAGGAGGAAAGTGATGTTGACCCCAAGTTTAGTGGCTTTGGTATGGATGTGGCTGCAAATGATCAAGGAAAAATTAATAACCTCGAATGTACTTTAATGAGCCTCGCATGAACCTGATTGTCAGCCAGATAAACAGGTATTACTCATGTTGCACAATGTCACAGCTGCACATGTGGAAAACATACAACTGTGGCTGAAATATATCTATTCCTTGCCGCAGTCATGCTAATGCCACATATCTACAAGCCCAGTACTGGGCAACAAACTACTACATCAGTACCCCAATCTTCCATGACCTCCCTTGCAACAGATTCAGGCTGTTGCTATGAATGTTGCATTTCTCAGACAGGAATACATCCAACAAAAATGACCTATACAAAATCCAGGTAGTGTTTATGTACCTGAAACTAAAGCTCAGTGCCTACTGTGGCAAGGGTTATACATTGTTCACTAGCATACAGCCCTATGCTCGCTGATTTCCTCTGTGTGAACAACACCAATATGTGTGGAAAAGTGAGAACAAATAGAAAACTTATGCCAAGGTTCACTATGGGCAGTGCTGATGATGCAGTGCACCATCAACAATGTTTCTTGACTGCACCATCAGCAATGTTTCTTGACTGCACCATTAGCAGTGTTGCTTGATTGCACCATCAACAGTGTTGCTTGACTACACCACCAGCAATGTTGCTTGACTGCACCATCAACAATGTTGCTTGGCTACACCACCAGCAATGTTGCTTGAACTATACCATCAGCAGTGTAGAGTTCCACTCTGACACTGCTTCAAGGAGTTTCATGTGCTCCAACATCTCGAAAACATTGCTAGGACATATAAATAATTTGTATATATTTCTAGACAGTGTGACCTGAGGCAAGTGGACATGTTCACCTGTCAATGTGTTAATATGTGTCCATGATTGTTTCATTACTATTTCTGTAGCTAATATTTGTGTCAGAACAACCAGTATCTGTGAAATTAAATTAAATTAAATTATGGGGATTCAAATACGAAATGGGAAGGGACACAGTTACATTTTGCTGATGATACTGTGCTTATGGGAGATTCTAAAGAAAAATCGCGAAGGTTAGTGGACGAATTTGAGAGTGCGTGTAAAGGTAGAAAGTTGAAAGTGAGCATAGAAAAGAGTAAGGTAATGAGGGTATCAAATGATTTAGATAAAGAAAAATTGGATATCAAATTGGAGAGGAGGAGTATGGAAGAAGTGAATGTTTTCAGATATTTGAGAGTTGACATGTCACTGGATGGATTTATGAAGGATGAAGTTAATCATAGAATTGATGAAGAAAAAAAGGTGAGTGGTGCATTGAGGTATATGTGGAGACAAAAAATGTTATCTATGGAGGCAAAGAAGGGAATGTATGAAAGTATAGTAGTACCAACACTCTTATATGGGTGTGAAGCTTGGGTTGTAAATGCTGCAGCGAAGGAGTTGGTTGGAGGCAGTGGAGATGTCCTGTCTAAAGGGCAATGTGTGGTGTAGTTATTATGCAGAAAATTCGGAGTGTGGAAATTAGGAGAAGGTGTGGAGTTAATAAAAGTATTAATCAGAGGGCTGAAGAGGGGTGTTGAGGTGGTTGGTCATTTAGAGAGAATGGATCAAAGTAGAATGACATGGAGAGCGTATAAATCTGTAGGGGAAGGAAGGCGGGGTAGGGGTTGTCCTCGAAAAGGTTGGAGGGAGGGGGTAAAGGAGGTTTTGTGGGTGAGGGGCTTGGACTTCCAGCAAGTGTGCGTGAGTGTGTTAGATAGGAGTGAATGGAGATGAATGGTACTTGGGACCTGACGAGCTGTTGGAGTGTGAGCAGGGTAATATTTAGTGAAGGGATTCAGGGGAACCGGTTATTTTATATAGCCGGACTTGAGTCCTGGAAATGGGAAGTACAATGCCTGCACTTTAAAGGAGGAATTTGAGATATTAGCAGTTTGGAGGGATATGTTGTGTATCTTTATACGTATATACTTCTAAACTGTTGTATTCTGAGCACCTCTGCAAAAACAGTGATTATGTGTGAGTGAGGTGAAAGTGTTGAATGAAGATGAAAGTATTTTCTTTTTGGGGATTTTCTTTCTTTTTGGGTCACTCTGCCTCGGTGGGAGACGGCCGACTTGTTAAAAAGAAAAAAAAAATATGTAAATTTGAAAAAAGAAATGAGAAAAAAGGGTTTATGTGAGAGACTTCTGCAAGCAACAGGACTCCATGTTGCTGTCATGAGCATCCAGCACCACCTTTGCTGCCTTGTATCTCAGTAAGTACTGACTAAAAAAATTTTTATTAACCCTTTCAGGGTCTAGACCCCAAATCCAAAACTTGTTCAAAGGGGCCAAGAATAAGAAAAAAAAATTTGCTTTTTCCTATGAAATGATAGATAATTTTTTTCAGAAAGTAACAAAATAAAATAT